GGTAAAAAATTAAATTATGAGGAGATGACAATATTATTTTTTTCATATAAAATAGAAATAAGAATGTATAAAATTATACAGTTACTAAGAAACATAGTTGAATTAAATGTAAATACTTTATCTCATTTTAATCAGTTATATAAAGGGATAAAAGAAATGTAAAAGAATCATGAGTTCCTTTGTAAATCTTGGTTTTATAAGGTATCTTTTGTCTGCTTATATCAGGGGAAAAATGAAGAAATTCTTACCTTTTAGGCAGGTTTAAAAAATTATATATACAAAGAAACAATTAAGATAATACCTTACAATTTAAAGTTTTGCAGTGATGAAAACTAATAATTTAATCACCTTTTAAAAACTTGTTCTTAAATCAGAAAGAGTTAGGCACATGAAAGTCCTCAAAGAAAACAAGTAATAAGGCTTACACTTCTTATATTTTTCTTACAATTTCAGTGAAGCCAAGCGATTTTAAATAATTCCAAATCAAAGATATCATATACTGGAGATCCCTAATTTCTGTTGAAAGGGACCTACAAATTCATCATATAAAATCTGAGAGCATACTGTATTTTAGAGAGCTAACACAATTTAAGGACAGAGCTACTCTTGAAAAAGAATCTCATTTTTAAAAGGATAATTGGATTGCTGATTTAAACATTGTACCGAATGAATACTGGTCTAATTATCTGCTTTGTTGTTACTGCTATATACCACTGAAAACCATATCATTATCTTCTACAACTCCCAAATTTTAACAGAAACATATAAGTAGATCATTTTATAGATTACAGAGCATTATAATACATGTTATCTCATTTGATCATCACACATTCTGTGAGGTAAGTTGGGACCAAAAATTGCCTTATCCTCATTTTACACTGAAGACATTGAAACTAAGAGAATTTAAATGACCTGTGTACTTCACACCATAATTATGGGTCTTTGAATTCCAAGGCTAGTGGAATTTTTATTATACTAGACTATGTAATTCATCCAAGTATGATAATATATATAAATGTACCTTTGGCATGTCAAAAGCGGTTTAAATATCACCAGAGTGAAATTTTGGTATATTAATTTTGGTAATTAAGTTTTAGCCAATGATCCTCTATTTTATAAAAAAAAAAATTTAAGTTGTTCATTTTATTTCATAGGGCTATAACCTAAATCAAGATAGTTACAATTTCAGTTATTTCCAACTATTATCACAAAGAAACTGAGATAGGTTAAAATGTTGAAAAAAAATTTCTAATTTGAAGAGATTTTTAAAATGTTGAAAAAATTTTCTAAGTTGAAGAAATTCTTAGATTTCTAAATCTGCTTTAAGAAGAAAGAGAAAATTATTACTAATGAAGGTTTGCTTAAGTATTTATCACCCAACTAATACACAAAGATCTAATTTCACATAAAACCAAAAAGAGCCTAAATACTTTTAAGAATAGCTCTCACCATTAAAAATGAATATAAAATGTTGGTACAAGTTTGTATATATATATTTCTTTAGTTTAAATAGTAATATGGACTGTTACTATAGGGAAAATATGCTTCATTTGGTATAATTTTCTTGTTTCTTATTTCTTGCTACATGTTATTTTGGTAAAGTAGACTTAATTTCACTTAGTTTATATGCAGATCCTTCAAATTTTTTTGAAGTGAGACTCACTGTTAGAATAAAAGTGAGTTGTATGACATGTTATTCATTTATTTATTTAAAAATTTACTATGTACTAAGCCCTTTGCTAGTTATTGAATTATTAATTAATTATTCTTTGAATCTATTATTTTGAGCTTAATATTCACCAATATTTTGTTAAACAAATTAAACAAAATATTGGTGAAATCAAAGTACTTTTTGAAAACCTTTTGATTATATATTAACATTTGAGAGAGTACTATTATTTTCTCAGCTGTCAACTGAACGAACAAAACACTAAACATTATCATGTGCCAATCACAACACAAATTAAACATATGGTAAGAAAGCTGTCCAGACTTGCTCAAATTGGCTTAAACAGTTGAAACTTGAAATGCTATTTGCAACATATAGTTCTTCAACTGTCTTTGAAAAATAAATTAATTTGGAGCACTAGTTTGATAAATAACATGGCCCAAACTAAATATTGTTATCCAAAACAATGAGTTAACAATATTAAATAAATTTTGTGGAGCAAAATTAAGATACTGGAAGTATTTTAAGGTCAATAGAAGCCAGGCCTCTTTGGAGTTTAGAATATTTTTCTGAACTGAAATGTCAATATAGCATTTACATATATATCAACAGTTTAATAGAGAAGATAAAATGAACACATAAAATCAAGAAGCAAGAATTAATATTTTCATAAGGTTCAATTAACTGTCTATACTTGGCCATTTGTACAAGAAAACCAATTAACAGTTTGGCAATTCATAATATAATGCAGATGGTGAAGACTGACAACATCTTTGAGCTCAAATAGATCGCACCTTCTATTTTAACTTCTTATTTTTGTTTCTGAATGCTTGGGTTGGCCCTCTCATGCTGTTCTCAGGAGAGAATCTCAGACAAAAGCTTCATGAATTGTTCATTTATTTATAAATAAGTTCAAGGGCATGTATGTTGGTTGGGGGCGCATCCCCAGTAGGGGGTATGTAAGAGGCAGCTGATTGATGATTCTCTTTCATCGATGTTTCTAACTCTCTATCCCTCTCTCTTCCTCTCTGAAAAAATCAATAAAATATATTTTTAAGAAAAGAAAAGAAAAGGTTTACTAGATGTCAATTATGAGGGAATTTACACTGTCTTGAGCACTTATTCCAATTTCAAGGAGAAAGACAATGAAGACAAAGGGGAAAAAATTACATTTTGGGCCAAATGTTCAAATATATCTTGTGAAGAATTAATAATAAAAACATTAACATATACTTTGAAAAAAACATGATAAATTGTTACCAGAAAACTGACTTTTGTGTCTGATACAAGCTACTTTTTCAACACCTAATTCTTTGTTACTTTTTGCTTTTTTAAAAAAAGTAAAAGTACACATGAACCAACATATGTCAAGCAATGTATGATAGTAGCCCTCAAATAAATCTCTTAAATCCTCAATAATCTTAATCCCTTATATTTTAGTTTTCAAAGAGTTTTCATATGATTTTTCATTTTATCCCCTATTTGACAACTTTGTGAGGTAGGCATTTATCTTTTATCTTCATTTACAAACAAGGGAACTAAAGCTCAGAGAAGTTGACTTTTTAAAGGTCAAAAGCCAGCAAATGACAAAGCCAGGCCTCTCTGGAGTTTAGAATATTTTCTAAGGTGTCATTCTTGGATTACCTGCATAAGAGTCACCAATGGTATTTTTATAACTACAGAGTTTAAATTCTTACAGAATGAGAATTTTTGGGAGTGGAGTCAGCATTTCACATTTTATAATGGACAAATAAAGTGGAAAACAATTTTGTATTAGATAATGATGTAAAATATTGAGTCCACCTAGATTTTCATGTGATATAATGAGATACCATCAGATCACCATCAGGGGCAAATCAATTTAAAACAGCCTGCAGCCTGGCTACAGTTAGAATCACCTGGAAAACTTATTTAAAAACCTATCAATTCTCATGTGAATGAGAGGAAGGCTTGGGCATCAGAGGTTCTCCAAATGATTCTTATCTCTAGTCAGGGTTGAGGACATGCTTGTTTAAAATGTTTTTCTACACATTACACCTAGCATTTTCCAAAAAATTTCTTTCCTTTCTGATCAATTTCATGCCTAATATAGTTACCAAGTTTTTATTGTAAATTAAACGTTACAAGACAAAATGTCAAAAAATTTTGAGTTGATATTTTTAAGATTACAAGGTACTTCACAGCAAGACTAATCATGCTTCATTTAGTTACAGTGATTTTTCAGATACCCCATATAAATCACCACTTTGGACCTAGGTTATATATATTTCAGCTGTAAACAAGACTTATCCAAATCTGAATACAAGGGAGGGAGCAAAAGCTGTAGCCTATTTGCTACTGGGCAATGCAAATACAGACAATCAACTTATTGATAGAAGGGGCTGGATGCCAAGATCTGGTGGCTTTGGCAAGATCACATCTCACTGCAGAAAAATACAACAATGAATACAGAAAAAACATTTTGCCATTTTGTAATTGTGGTTACCACAAAAAACCCTTATAATGTGTGATGCTTATCTTATTACATGCCTCCATGGAACAGATTTGAACATAAAGTTCTCTACGAATATTACTAAATGGGAAAAGATGGCTACAAATTGTTTTTTCCATCATGCATATGGAGAAGTTATAAAAACACTGCAAGTAAAAGGAATATTTACAAAAGTAATGAAAACAATTCACTTATAGGGAAAAAATGGCCAGTGATACTCCTAATCCTCTATCTCTCTGGATGAAATTTATTTTGGTAGAATTTTGAAAAAGCCTTCAATACTCTAATCAGATTCTTCTGCTGATCTTTTATTCTATTAGTTAAAATACCCTTGCTGATTTATCAAATTCTCTTACAGTTTTAAACTATAATTCTTTTTCACTCATGGAAATAAAACTACAAAATCCTACCATTCATCTGAGAAATAAACCTTGCATAGAAAATTCTTAAATTCTGAAATTTTGTTTTATTAACAGAATGACCATAATGTTATCTCACAACTAGTTGATATTATATATGAAAGTTCACTACAAAGCAGTCACCACACATTTAGGATTTTTTCTAAATATAAAATAGTGGGTTTATAAAAATGCTTACCAGACAAATAATTCTCTCTTCATTTCCTAGAAATAAGAATTATTTATGTGACAATATAATTTTAAGACGCCTTGATATTCCAAGTTTGATGCAATATAAAAAACAAAAATTTACTTTTCCAATGGACACAATCTGCACCTGACTGAACGCATAACAGTGAGTTACAGCAGTCAGTCATGCTAAAGGCAAAGAATAAAATCTGCTTTGTAAACGCCACAAAATTTCCACCTTAGACAGGATAAATTAAGCACTGGTTCCATCTTCTTCAATAACTCGGTTCATGCTGGTGCCATGTGTGATGTGAGTCATAGGATTATTACTGAGATCCCGGATGCTGCTATGTCGTGACTGTTCATTGAGACGATGAGAACTACTGTGCCTGGAGTGATCCGTTAGTCGTGACATGCTGCCATGAGGTAGTCTCTCTTCCATTCCTCTGTAACTGCAAGGAGTATACCTAGTACAGGAGAGTTTATTTTGAAGTGAGTAATAGAACACACTAGAAAAATAACACTAAATTTTGCATGAAAATGCTGCACTAAATGAAATAATTAGGAACCAATAAGTGAAAAATAACAACGACCTTTGATGATTTACAGCAATTTCATTAACACTAGAATTATTCATATGGCTAACAAAACAAAAAGAAAGAAAGAAAGAAAGAAAGAAAGAAAGAAAGAAAGAAAGAAAGAAAGAAAGAAAGAAAGAAAGAAAGAAAGAAAGAAAGAAAATATATTCATTAGATTCAGAATCAAGGTCCTATTCTTTGCAAAAGGACAGAAGTTAAGGTTAATTTTCCCCATTCAAATAAGTTATCGGTTATGGGGTGAGTTCAGAAAGAGGAGGGAAAATAATGGAAGAAAGATGACACTGACCAAAACGTTGATAAATCAGAAGTGTAGAAAATTGGCTATAGCTGAAACCGGTTTGACTCAGTGAATAGAGCGTCAGCCTATGAACTGAAAGGTCCCAGGTTCGATTCCGGTAAGGGGCATGTACCTTGGTTGCGGGCACATCACCAATGGGGGGTGTGAAAGAGGCAGCTGATTAATATTTCTCTCTCATTGATGTTTCTTTCTTTTAAAAAAAAATATATATATATATATTTTATTGATTTTGTACAGAGAAGAAGGGAGAGAGATAGAGAGTTGGAAATATTGATGAGAGAGTCATCGATCAGCTGCCTCTTGCACACCCCCTACTGGGGATATGCCCGCAACCAAGGTACATGCCCTTGACTAGAATCGAACCCGGGACCCTTCATTCCCCAAGCCGACGCTCTATCCATTGAGCCAATTGATGTTTGGCTCAATGGATAGAGCCAAACATCAATTTGGCTCTTATTGATGTTTCTAGCTCTCTATCCCTCTTTCTTCCTCTCTGTAAAAAATCAATACAATTATTTTTTTAAAAATTGGCTATAATAAGTATAGCAACTCAAATTTACTAAAAGACTAGGAAGAGGGAGCATATGAAATTAGAGGAGAAATTAGTGTAACCAAAAAGAAAAAGAAAAAAAGATGAACTGGCAAGCAACAATGACAGTATGTGCTGATAGCTTCTTTCCAGCTAGCCCAGTTAACAATTAAATTAACTACTGTAAATGGTGTTAACTATTTTTCCTCGGAGCTGTGAGCATTCTATGCTATTTTATAGAAGATACATCTACTTAAGTATATATAACAACATCCTAATACACTATGACTTACATTCCTGCTAAAGCAAATTCTCTCAGTATCCTGAACAAAGAACTTTTGAATATGCTAACTGGGCTAACTGCTTATTGTGGACAGTCTTTTCCTCCATCATTCTTCTTATCTTGAAAGCAGCAATGGGGAGCTGTTAAATTTTCTTTTGTTCCAATCCTGATTCGCTGAGCCCCCATCAGAGATAAGAATACTCATACTCAGATGTACACCTTTTTGTAAAAAGTATTTAATTTAGGATAACAAATCTCAAAGAAAACTTAACTGAATATAATTTATAACTTTAACATATTAAATTTTAACTAATATTTCTAAAAATAAAGAAGAATATAGCAGGCTATTTCTTTTTTAAATAGTCATCAAAATAATCACATGCAGCTGAAGACCTATTGGGTGTCAAAGCATTCATTTATCATTCCTTCATAATTATAACAAATTTCATGACTCAATATGAATCATTTATAAAATTAAAAACTTTTTAAAACTATGACTTTACTGATTTTAGAACGAGGAAAAGAGAGATAAACATCAATGATGAGAGGATCACCAGTTGGCTGCTTCTTGTATACCGCCACTGAGTATCAAGCCCACAACCCAGTCATGTGCCCTGACCAGGAATCCAATAGAGACATGATTCATGGGTTGATGCTGAAACACTGAACCACATTGTCTAGGCTAAAATGTAAAGATTTTAAAGACTGATTCATGAACTTCTGAGGAGATCTAGTTTGACAGCATGCTTATTAAATAGTTTCCATTAGATCACAGATTTTGAAAATTGAAAAGTCCTTTTAAAATTATAAAAGAAAGAATATCTTTGGTTTCCAGTTTTAAATTTTACTTGCATGTTTTGATAAAATAATTTGTTAATTGAAAATATTTCAGAATGAGCTTGTTATTCTATCATTATTTTGCAAAAACAATTATTGCCTTAACTGAGTGAAAGATTTTTCCAAATTTGATCTGCCAGCTAATTTGAAGCTCTTTCACCTCTCATAACTTCGTAAGTATTATTTAAAATAAATATGGGAAATAAATAAAATTAAAACAAATCTGCTTCAGTTCCAGGAATGATATCAGAGTAATTAAAAAAACACCAAATCACTACTTAAAAATATGAATTGGATATTTTCTTAAATGAAACCTAAGTATTTTAGTTATATGAATCAAAGAATATATGTTTCATAGGAAAAATTACTATATTGAGGTGAGATATATGGCTATTCACAAAATTGTAGTGAAATATATGGCTATTCACAAAATACTATAATATAAACAACCCATTCATGGATAATTAGGAATCAACTACACAGAAAAATAAATTTAATTATAGTATTTAATCTCAATTGTATATTTTGATAATTATTTAAACCACTGTGACCATCTAACATACAATATGAAAATGTACATTAATCTTAATATAAGCTTAGGCAAAAACAATCAGTATGTTTAATTTGCTGAAAAGATAATATGGTGAAGTCCAAAGTCAAAATGAAAAAAAAAGAAGATTTGCTCTCTTTGATTCTCTATACAATGAATAATTCAATTAGCTGAAATTTCACTAGTATCTCATTATGCATTCCTTAACTATCCCTTGTAGTCACCACTTTTTACCATCCTACTCACTCAATTCAAATAAATGTGGCAAATGAACCAAATGGAAATTTTTTTTAATCTACCTACTCATCCACTTTCTTTTTTACCCATATTTTCATGGGTAAAATTATCCATGAAATCTAATCACCTATTACTTATTCTTTGAAGTTGATTTACATGTGTAAGGTATATGTCTCAAGTGTATTTATTTTGCATAGCACTGAGATCAATTATCAAGGAGTCTGGATTAGAGTGAGTAATGTGAAGCGTGTGTGTGTGTGTGTTTGTTTATGTGTGTGTTATTTCATAACCAAGAAATCAATAAGATGATGAGAAAAGGATGACCAAAAGATAATGTTAACAAGTAAACTTAGACTCTCGAATCCAATAATTACAGACTGAGGTTGTTCCTTGTGATTAAGCCCCTATCCCAGTGGTCAGCAAACTCATTAGTCAACAGAGGGGCAAAGGCAACTCATGAGCCGCAGTTTGTGGACCACTGCCCTAGCCAGTTTGGCTCAGTGGATAAGAGTATTGGCCTGCAGACTGAAGGGTCCCTAGTTCGATTCCAGTCAAAGGCATATGCCTGGGTTGTGGGCTCGATCCTCAATAGGGAGCATGCAGGAGGCAGCCGATCAATGATTCTCTCTCGTACTGATGTTTCTATTTATCTTTCCCTCTCCCTTCCCCTCTGAAATCAGTAAAATATATATTAAAAAAAAATCCTGAATGATGCAGAGAAATTTCCATGAAATGGCTTTTGGAATTATGATAATCCCTGTCTAGAGTTTTAGGTTTAATGTGGTCTGAGGTGCTGGGTATGGCAGAGAGGCTCACAATATGAGTGTTCTTGCACCACATTATAGAACCACCTTAGTAGGCCACCATTATAGTTCTGGGTCCCGAATTTCTGGGAAATACAGTATTTCTAAAATCATTTGTTACTCAATATACTTGTGTGTACAGCTGAGGAAAGACAACTGTATTGAAAATACGTCATACCAAAAGAATTATTAAAAAGTAATTAACTGCCATGGTGATTCCATGACACTATATTTTTATTGATTCCCTCATATGTGTATAGTATAAGCATTTTCTCTGAATCATATGCTGGCTATTCTATTATTATTACTGTAAGGTCTTGTTCTTGATCTATTCTTTTTAAAATTATGACTTAACGGCTTCTCACAATTTTAATTATCAACTCTTTATACTAATGATTATAAACTTCCTTATCGAAGCTCCAGTTACACTAGATTACAGAGGCTGAAATTCCCTATGATTAATTACCTTCAGAAATTCTCTATTCAGTATGAACTTATCTTTTGTTACCATTCATTCACTCTATTTATCTTCTCTAAGATACTTTCATGGGCCAATCTAATCTTTCCCTTTTATAAAGTTCCACAACATCAATCATCTATAGCATTCATGTTTTAATTATATGCTGGCTTGCACTATTACTTAATTGGTTCTTATGCATATATCTTATCTTCCCTAAAAGGTCATATGCTCCTAGAATGCAGAAATTATACTTTAACTTTCTTTAATATATCTCTATATACAAAATACCACATGCATATGCATAAGCACTGTACTAAAAATAACTGTCCAATTCTTATTGAAAAGCAGGCGGCTAATAATATCAAATGTCATATAATGCTGACAGTTATTTCATGGAGGATGATGTTGACAAAATGTATTCTAATTCCCTCCCTCCTTATGAATGTCTTAAGATAGGACCCCTAAATACTTACTGTAGAAACTTCCCAACTGAGCTTACTTAAAATCTTCTCAACTGTGTTGCCAAAGTGATCATTCTCAAATACAAAGCTGATTTTATCACCACAGTTGCCCACACATGCATACTATGTGGTAGTCATACTCCAGTACCTAACCCCTGCTGTTCTCCTTACCTCTGCATATATATTCTTTCCCTGTCTTTAATTTTCAAGTGCTTCCCCTGAATCATATTCAAAGTAGCAGTGCAATGTTGTTTGTGAAATTTCCTCTGACTTCCCATGATAATTTGATGGTTTTCTTCTCTGGGATCCTAAAGCACCTTGTATATAATTTTTAAAAATACATTTTATTGATTTTTTTTTTCAAAGATGAAGGGAGAGTGATAGAGAGTTAGAAACATCAAGGACAGAGAAACATCAGCTGCCTCCTTAACTCCCCCTACTGGGGATGTGCCCAAAACCAAGGTACATGCCCTTGACCTGAATCGAACCTGGGACCCTTCATCCGCAGGCTTACGCTCTATCCTCTGAGCCAAACCAGTCAAGGCTATAATTTTATTATACAAAAGGAAAAAATAGATAAAAGATAGAAAATATAGTAAAAAAAAAAGACTGCTGCTTTTTAAAAACAGAATAGCTGTCCCATTAGAAGGCAAAAGATTTTCTGAGAAGTCTCAATCTAAAAAGAAAGTATGGAAATTATATCCTACACTAGGACAGAGAAGACTGAGAGAAAGGTTAGGATGAGATTGAAAAGATATTAGACAGTTATAAAAACACATGTTTTAAAGTTAACATAGAATTCTTTCCATTTTAGGCATAAGAATTTTCATTCTTTCAGTTTCCCAAACTAGAAATTGTTAAAAAAAAAAAAAAAAAAAAAACCAAAAAAACAAACAAACAAAACACACACACACACACACAAAATAAACACACACACCAAAAAATAATAAAACACAAACATTTGATATAGTTCTCTCTAATTGTTATTAATCCATCATCAATTCCTATTTTTTAATTTCTTCTTTCTAAATATTTTTCAGATCAGTTCTTCCTCTCTTTCCATCGCCACTACTTTCCTGTTAATTTTCATCATCTCTTAACTGAATTATTGCAAAGCTCCTTAGAAGTGTCTAATCATTGGCAAATTTAACAAGAAAATACATCCCCTTCTCTCATTCTCTCTGTGAAGCAACTCTGATCCTGTGCCCTTCTTATTTTTGTAAGTAAAAATTGACTGGAATATAGTCATTCCCATCTTGACTACATATTATTCATGCTACAATAGCACGAATGAATAGTTAAAACAGAGATCAGATAATCCACAAAGCCTAAAATATTTACTATGTGGTTCTTTATAGAAAAAAGTTTGACAACCTCTGGACTAATACAGTCTTCCCTTGGTATCCACCCAGGATTAGTTCTAGGATCCCTGCAGAAACTGAAATCCATGGATAATTGTTTTAATATAAAACTAGAGGCCCGGTGCACAGATTCGTGCACTGGTGGGGTCCCTCAGCTCGGCCTGCGGGGATAGGGCCAGAACTGGCAGCCCAACACCCAGGGGTCCTGGAGTGTGAGAAGTTGCAGGCCAGGCCGAGGGACCCCATCGGTATACGAATCTGTGCACCAGACCTCTAGTATGCATATATGATCTTTGGTCAATCTCTTTCCACCCTTCCTCCTCCCCGCTTTCCTCTGAGATTCATCAGTCTGTTCCATGTTTCCATACCTGTGGTTTCCACTCCTGCATTGAGCATCTGCCCCCTGGTGGTCAGTGCACATCATAGCTACCAGCCAGTCAGCCAGTTGGTCTCTTGCTTAGGCTTTTATATATATAGATGGTATATTTGCATATAGCCTATACACATACCCCTATATATTTTAAATCACCCCTATATAATTTAAATCAGGGGTCGCCAAAGGTCGTCTGCAGACCATTGGTGTCTGTTAGGTCTGAAAGGTTAGTGACCGCTGCTTTAAATCATCTCTAGATTAGTTATAATATCTAACACAATGTAAATGCAATGTAAGTAGTTTTTTACTGTACTGTTTAGGAAATAATGACAAGAAGAAAAAGTCTGAACGTTTTTAAGATAGACACAACCACTATAAGTCAAACTACATTGTACAGGTCAGCAACAATATAACACTTCCCCCTCAGTATTTCCCATGCCCATTTGAATTCCTGAATGCAAAACCCATAGCTACGAAGGGCCAACTGTACCATCATATTTATATTTTACTTTAATTGTTCACTTAAAATAATAACAGAAGTTAATATCAGGCATTTAAGTTAATATCAGGCAGTTAAGACAGGCACTGTTCTAAGCAATTGGATATATTATCTCATTAATTTTTTTACAATAGTCCTAAAGGATATTATTACTATTTCCATTTTACAGATGAGGAAACTGAAGCTTATCTTTCCAGATCCTATATGTAAACAGCAACACTAATAGTGACTATACTATTATTCTTAACCTGTTAACTGAGTGGGACCTATAAATATGTCAAACATAAACACTATCGGGAATGGGTAGGACATATGAATACGTCCTTGAAATATATGTTGCGCCCTGAGAGGGATGGTATATATTTTTTGTAATCTTTATAATTGTTTGTAAAATTTATAATTTTTTATATTTTTTCAATACAGAGAGGAAGAGAGAGGGATAGAGTTAGAAACATCGATGAGAGAGAATCATTGATCAGCTGCCTCTTGCACACCCCCTACTGGGGATGCGCCTGCAACCAAGGTACATGCCTCTGACTGGAATCGAACCCGGGACCTTTCAGTCCGCAGGCCGACGCTCTATCCACTGAGCCAAACCAGTTTCGGCTATAATTTTTTAATTCGATGCTTCCATTTTTTTGTTGGTATTCTTTTCTATTTGTTTGTAATTTTGTATTTTCCTTTGTGCTTTATATATAAATAAAAAAAAATAATATAAAATTACGTCCACTGGGCGTGACGTACTGACACGTCCTAGTGAAAGAGTAGTATGCACCCATTGTACGTTGCGTAATTAAAAAGGGAACTCCCCGGTTAACAGGTTAAAAACTGTGAGCTTATTAAAAATATAGATTATGCCTATATCAACGTTGTATTCCCAGAACAGTAGCTGATATAGTAGGTATTCCACAATTGTTTGCTAAATTAATCTTACTAACATAACCATTTTCATCCTTCCTTCTCCCTACTCAATACCCTTTGATGACTCCATATTTTTTATTGCAGCAAGTCTAAGCTTTAAACTCCTCTGACTGGCTTTACATTGGACCATAATCAGGGACAACTGTTCCTAGCAAAATTTAAAAAAATTAACAATGAATTGGCTACTCTTCCTTAAGCTGTGTAACTCTTAATTCAGCACATGAAATAAACTAAGCTAGCAATAAACTCACCTGCCATCACGAGATCTGTGGAGGCTGCCGTGATAGCTGCTCACTTTGCTGTGGACACTCCCTGCTTTGCTTCTCTGATCATCCACCATAGCCAGCTGAGTTGAAGAAGCATGTGTGGATGTTCCTTGAGTGGAAGTTCCTCTTGATTTCCTTATAATAGGAGTATTTGGATCCCTCAGAAGGGACTGAGCAAAATCAGGTTCTTGGAGTACTTGTCGGCTCTCATTCACTATCCTAGACAACAAAATACTAAGTTTAAGATAAAGATTAACATTCCTATAGACTAACAAATAATACTTTTGTGACGCACTGACATTATTCTTTAAATTAATTGCTCTCCACATAATGTCTTTAGAACAGATATAACATTGTTAAAAGAGGAAAGAGTATAATAAAAATGCACGTGAATCAGCCCAATTGGCATGGCTCAGTGGTTGAGCAACGACTTATGAGACAGGAGGTCACAGTTCAATTCCAGGTCAAGGCACATGCCTGGGTTGTGGCCTGGAGCCCCAGTATGAGGTGTGTAGGAAGCAACCAATCAATGGTTCTCTCTCATAACTGATGTTTCTGGGCGATAGGTGGGCGCCATCCTCTCTGATAGAGGCAGCAAGCCCCCAGCCACGAGCCACACAGCAGGTTAATTTTATAGGGTCAAAGGAGCTTATTTGCATTCTTAACAAGGCCCTAGCATTACTGGATTTACATATCTAGACCCGCCCCTGCCGACACCTGGACAAAGGTAGTCAGAAACTGAACAACACCCCCAGCCCTCTTGCGGGAGGGAGGGTGGTGCAACCGGGACACTGCCTTGGGCTCAGCTGACAATTTAAAGGTGGCCCTCTACATTTTAGAGAGAAAGGATGACAGAGAGAAACATCAATGTGAGAGCAAAACATCAAAAGCTTCCTCCTATGTGCCCCTGCCCCAGGGATCGAGGCATGAAACCAGGGCATGTACCTTGACCAGGAATCAAACCTGCAGCAACCTTTTTTTTTTTTTTTTTAAATCAATCTTTATTGTTCATATTATTACAAAGGTTCCTCATTTCTTCCCCCCTCCACCAGGTTCCCACCCCACCCTCCGCCCCCTCCCCATCCCCCATTGTCCTCATCCATAGGTGCTCAGTTTATGTTCAGTCTCTTCCTCCTTCCCTTTCCCCATAGTAAATCCCTTTTCAGATAGTAAATCAGTTACTTAGCATTTTCTCATATCAATAATACCTCCACATGCCCAATGATACACTTCACACAAAAGACATTTCCCAATAGGTCAACTAGCCTCATCCAGGCCCCACCCAAGGCACTCACAGATCAACACCCCAGCCCTATACTAACTCAACACATCCAGATCTAAGCCTTCATCACTTGATTCAGCGGACCCTCAAGTTCCTGCGAAAGTTTCCAGCCATGTCTGAGAGGCAGCCGTGGGGCAGGGGCAGGCGAGGAACGAGCTGTTCCGGGCCTGGCTGCTCAGGGCCTGGCCTCTGTTGCTCTGGTTCGTTCCACAACCAGCTGCTCCGGGTCTGGTCACTGCTGCTCCCGACCTAGTTGCTCTGGACTTGGCTGCTGCTGCTCCGGGCCTGGCCGCACCCGATCCAGCTGCTCTGGGCCTGGCCGCTCCCAGCCTGGCAGCCGCTGCTCTGGGCCTGGCCGCACCCGACCCGGCTGCTCCAGGCCTGGCCGCTCCCAGCCTGGCAGCCGCTGCTCCAGGCCTGGCCACACCCGACCCGGCTGCTCCCCTGGGCCTGATGCAGCAACCTTTTGGTGCACTGTGGGGACAACGCCCAACCAACTGAACCACAATGGCCAGGACTACCCTTTTTCCCCCCTCATTGTATTTTTATTAATTTCATAGAGGAAGGGAGAAGGAGATAAAGACAGAAACATCAATGATGAGAGAGAAAAATTGACTGGCTGCCTCCTGCACACTTTGGGGATGTGCCCTGACTGGGAATTGAACTGTCATCTCCTGGTTTATAGGTTGATGCTCAACCACTGAGTCATGCCAACTGGGCGAGGACTATCCTTCTTAATAATGTTTTTGTTATGGAGACGAAGAGGATATTAGAATCTATTAAGAATAAACATTGTGGTCCCCATTTTATAGATGAAAAACTGAGGTTTGAAGGGATCAGTGGACTTCCCACAACAAAACCAGTAGTCAGAGATCAAACTTAAGTTTAAGTGGCTTAGAAACCAATCATCAAGTAATGATAAAACAATGTTTACTTAATCCTGAAAACAGAGTGTCAAAAACTAAATAGAATAAAGAGTAAGTAAAAAATAGTACTGTCCTAGCTTGGAGGATCACAATGACTTCATTGAGGAGGTATCCATGATTGCAGAAAACCAAGTATAAGGATCCTTGGGTACTTTTAAAAAGACTCTGGCCCAACCAGGATCTCCCAATAACTAGAATAATTCCTCATAAGGTAAGGTGACAGGACGTCCCAATTTTTAACAATTTGTTCTGTGACCCTTGTGTTTTAAAAAAGTCTTTCCAAAAATCGGGACTTTTTAAAAACGCCATGGGACGTGGGACAAATTGTTAAAAATCGGGACTGTCCTGCCAAAAGCGGGATGAATGGTCACCTTATCATAAGGGCAGGTTGAGTGTAGCTCTATGTGGAATTTCCAATACAACCCCATAGAGAATTATTTGTCTACTAGAGCCCCAGTGCATGAATTTGTGCATGGGTGGGGTCTGGCTGGCTTGCCCCAATAAAGGCCAAATGGGTTGGGCCAGCCGGGGGGATGGGACAGGGGAGGTTGGCTGGCTGGCCCCGCCCCTGAATGGGGTGTATGGGGCTAATCAGGGGCAGGGTTGGCCAGGTGGAGGGGTCCCAGATGGGTTGGTGGGCTGGCCCCATTCCCTTGTGGAACTCCAGTGGAGGGGACAATTTGTATATTATACTTTTATTATATAGGATGATCCAGAAGTGACCAGGAATGTTTAACTCAAGCCCCTTCCTCAGCTTTATGTTGTACTGTGATTAAAATATGTTTAAAATGTTCATCAAATACACAGATAAATCACAGTAAATCCTACAAAGAAGACTCCATGAAAGCAGGCACTTGTCCTGTTTTGTTTCTTGTTGAATCCCTGGTATCCCAAAATAGTTCATGGCACATAGTAAGCATTTAATAAAGACTTCTTAAAGAATGAATTAATTCCTAGAAAATATATTTTTGTAGTTGTTGTTGAATGCATCTTTCTATCTTTGTCCTATGAAACTGTATTTAAAGGAGAAAAACATTATCTGATATCACTAGTAGCAGTCTCAGATTAAGAAAAAAATATTTTAAATGTGATTATTTTATTTTAATTTAAACTGTTTAAGATAAACTATTAATTACTAATAGTTTATAAAATACAGATTTTTGTTATTGAGGCACTTTAAGTTGCATAGTGAAAGTACATTAGCCCATACAAGGCACAACATTTTAAATACAATCTTAAGAGTATCTCCTAAAACCCACTTTCCATGGACCCTATCCATAAGTATACTAATTTAGAATTCAGATATATTTATTTAAGATTCTGAGTAAAAAATTTAAAATAAGTGGTTCTTTTGTGAATATTGAAGAACCTTGTTTTATTTAATGAACTAAAGGTTCAAAAAAAATTAAAGATTCTTTAAATATGCCCTCAAAAGATTGCTTCGGCAAGTCTTACCATTATGATATTCTAATATGTAGTGTGGTCAACTATGAAACGAATTAAAATACTTTCTTAAACATATTTTATGTTATCTAATGGTATATTTTTTCTATATTGGCTTTAATGTGTACTATATCAGAATGGAATAGCATGCTATCTCTTTAAATCATTTATGGTTTACTTGGATGAACAATTTGAAATGGAAGCCTAATCTAATACCTGTGTGACTTAGACCAAGGCACTTAACCTCTCTGTGTCTGTTTTCTCATCTGTAACACCAAGATTATAATAACCCTCACAGGATATTAAGAACATAAAATAAGAATGTATATAAAAGCATTAATTTGTTTTTAATTTTAAGAAAAATTATAATTTGGATTTTTAAAAATAAAGATTGACCTTCCCTCATATCTTAGTAAGGAAGAGAAGTTTTTAACTTTTTTAGAAATTTGATTTGAGAGAGAAGGAGGGAGAGGGAAAGAGAAACATAAATTTATTGTTCTTATTTATGCATTCATTGATTGATTCTTGTATGTATCCTGACTGGATTGAACATGCAACCTTGGAGTACTGGGATGACACCCTACTCAACTGAGCTACCCAGCCAGGGCCATATTTTTAGCTTTTCATATTATTTAAAATTTTTTTTTTTTTATTTGAGAGAGAGAGAGAGAGAAACATCAATTGGCTGTCTCCTGCATGCCCCCTCCCCCCCGCCCTGCACCTCAACTGGGGAAAGAGCCCATACCTGGGCATGTGTCTTGATCGGAAATCCAACCCCTGACCAGGAATTTAACCAGCGACTGTTTGGTGCACAGGACAATGCTCAACCAACTGAGCCACACCAAGTATTTAGTTTCTAATTAAGACATGCTACTATGCCAGTCTTAACTGATGGCAGCTGAAGTTACAGTCCAAATTATTTTAATGTAAGCAATACAAAAAAAATGTACATGAATGTGAAGTCTGTGAACATTGTGATACTTTACTTCAACTTACTCTTTTTTCCTACGACCATGAAAAAAACTGGCCCATTCAAAGCATGTCTTTTTGCTTCCAACCCAAAATATGGAGGGAATACCAACTATGAGAGCCATCAGGTATTTCATCAGAAAGAGAATCAGGTCTGGACGACTCATTTGAGTGACCTACAAGAAGGGAAAGAAAAATATCTTAAATAAATAAAATAATTATTTATTAAAGGCTATTATAAAATATTTAAAATAAACAACAGTAAAATAATTCTACATTTTTATGTTTTCACTTATATAGTACTATATTAATTTTCTGGTTATATGGAAAGATACACTCGCAAAAATTTGACAATAAACTTATAATATATATTTTGAGTCCTATATTTTTATTATTAGCTCACATTGGCTGTCTTCTATAGAAAAATAGTATTAATGCCCAAATAAACCCTAAATAGGAATAGAGGCTCAAGTAATAACCATACTGGCCAATTTTACTAGTGTTATCATTGGCCATACTACTTAATAAAAGAGTAATATGCAAATTAATCATTACTCTGCTACACCTACAAGCCACGCCCACCAGCCAACCACCATAGGCCCCTTGCCCAGGCTGCCCCATGTCACAAGGGAACCCCCAACCTGATCCAGGACACATAAGATTATGATAGCTGCACCTATGTGGTAAAAGATCCTGTCCCTTATAAATGAAGAAAAAGAAAGAGGAAAGAGAATGAATTATTATCTATTTATAAATTACATAAGAACACCCCCCCAACAAATTCAGTCCTGATTTAAAACAGGATATATACTAGGAATAAAGGAAAATATTTAAATAAAGGAATACGATGTTCAGTTTTTATTTTATAATAACCTTATAATGCCTATATTTTTTGAGGGGGAAAAAAATCACTAAATATCTTAGTCCTTTGTATAATTAAAATGGACAAGTGAGAAACTTTAAAACTCTTATAATTATCCTTTATAAACACTATATTCCTATTAATGATAAAATATATTACAGTAACATTGGAAAAAAACTCACCTGACCTATTTCTCTGATCTTTTACTGGGAACTGTAGGGAACCAGGCAGAGAAGGGAGACTACCAGTACTCACTGTAAGCCCCACATCTTACTGTCCTTTCCCTACAATGGTCTGGCTAGTTGTGAACACCTTACATTAACCATCTTCTAGACAACTGATCTCCACTAACATCACTAATTTTATTCAACAGAATTTTGCAATATGACTTTATTCAACCACAATATGGAAAAGTTTTACTCTTCTAATTTAGATCCGGAATGCATCAAAGACCTGGGGTTTGAAAATTCTTTTTAATTAAATAGAAAAATTATTCATGCTAAAGGAGAAAAAGCATTGTGAAAAAAAAAACAAAACACCCACGAAGGGCATTTTTATGATTATTGTGGTGGCCTACATTTAATTCTTATTTCTGAGATTTTGGCTTTGAATCAGCCAAAGGTTGGCAGATTTCTTTCCCTATCAAGTAGAATCTATACTTTACTAATGGAGACACATATTGCATTAGGTTTACTTTCATTTAAAAAAAAAGATTCATTACAAAATGTTAGCTTATACTGAGCCTGTGATCATCAAAGTCACATAAAAATAAATAATTGATCAGTCTGTGACAGTAGTTCTAGAATGGAGGTCTGTTGTATTGGTAGGTAACAGTAGTTCTAGAATGGAGGTCTTCTGATTCCATACTTTGTGCACTTATTATACTACATTGCTTTATTTGCCTTTACTTTTATTCTCTTTTGAAAAATCCTACTTGAACTACTATACTGCTATTATAATTAAAACAATGATAGGAGATTAAGCAAAGACAGAAAACAGACCATAGAAAAGAAGAGCAAAATAAGTTTCACATATGGAAACTTGATATATGAGGCAGCATTATAGTTCACTGGAAGAAGTCTAGTCATTAAATAGTGATAACTATATATCTACATATTTTAAAAATAATATCTCATCCTCACACTAGACATAATAAATTATATAGATTAAAAACCCACACCTGAGAAGCAAAACTTTAAAACTGCAAAAAAGTATTTTTTTATGACTCTGGGATAGAGATTTCTTAAGTAACATATAATTTATAAAAACAAGAAAAAGATGGGTAAATATATACATTAAAATTTTAAATTTCTGCAGATTAAAGGGCATGATTTAAAAAGTGAAAAGCCAAGCTAAATATCTATAATACATAAAACAAAGAATTATAATCTAGAATATGTATGTGACTGTAAATAAGCAATTTATAGAACTTGAAATAGCTAATAAACCTAAGTTCAATCTCACCAGTAATCAGGAAAATACAAATTTATATAGCAATAAGGATTGTGAATACAATTGACAAAAATTAAAAAAATCTGATGATACCAACTGATGATGAGGATGTGAACAATGAGAACTCTCTGTTCATTCATATGGGATTCTAAATTGGTTAAACAACTTGCAATTTGGCAACATCTAGTAAAGTCGAATATTCACTTTACATTTCTGTTTTTACACATATACTATAGAGAAACTCATGTCGACACACGAAAGTATTCATAGCAGCATTATTTCTAAGAGAGGAAAAACAAGGTATAACCTAAATATCCATTGAGAGTAAAACAAACAAATGTGATATATATCCATACAATACTGCACAGTAGAGAAAGCAAATATTACAGATATTACCATAGACAAATCTCACAAACATAATAAATGACAAAAGCAAGGTGCAAAAATATATATACATCTTTGACATTATAAAGTTTTAAAATAGTTAAACTAATATATATTATTTAGGAAAATATACGAATAAATATATAAGTATACAAAAACAACAAATCCGGGATGATAGTTTAAAGGGCAGATTAGATTACAAAGGAGGAATTGGTGTTTTGTCAGTGTTTTTTTTATTTTTTTATTAAATGGATGGTAGAGCTATTGATGTTCAATGCACAACATCATTCCTTATTCATATCTGTATGTCAGAAATATTTAAATACCTTTTAAAAAGAAAGGACAAAAAGGAAGTGAAGGCTCCTACAATTACAATATAGTTTGTTCCTATCAGGGAGGCAACAGTTTTGGAAATAAAGCAAAAAAAAAAAAAAAAAAAAAAGTAATTTGCTTCTTTAACTAGGTATATTTCATTCCTAGTTCTATATCTGTCCTATTTTCCTTTTGCTAAGTTTATCGTCTTTCATCATTGGTCCACTAATTTATTTGCAACCCTGTAAAAAGAAGTATAGTAAACAGGGATTTCAATTTCCACGCTTTTATTGTTAGAGGAAATCATAAAATACAAACTCCACATTTGCAAATAATCTCATTTTCTTTTCCAAACACATAGGGATTACCTTCTTACAATAATTCTTTCTTTTAAATTCAAGAATGACAATGAGGCTCCCCAGTGTGACTTAGTAGTTGAGCTTATGAATCAGGAGGTCATGGTTCAACTTTCAGTCAGAGCCAGGGTTGCAGGCCCTATCCCCAGTAGGGGACAGGCAGGAGGCAGCTGGTGAATGATTCTCCCACTCCCTTCCTATCTGAAATCAATAACATATTTTATAAAGACATTCTAAGCTAGAAAAACCATTTTTTTTAAAAAGAAATGGCATGAGGAATGTTAAGCAATTTAAATTCTAATTAACTTTACCAATGACTATTTATTTGTTGATTATAGCCATTCTGAGATATGAGATGGTATCTCATTGTTGTTTTGATTTGCATCTATCAGATGATTAGTGACTTTGAGCACATTTTCATATGTCTCTTGGCCTTCCGTATGTCCAATTTCAAAAAGTGTCTATTTATGTCCTTTGCCCATTTTTTATTGGATTATCTTCCTTTTGTTAAGATGTATGAGTTCCTTATAAATTTTGGAGATTAGGCCCTTATCGGATATAACATTGGCAAATGTGTTCTCCCATGCAATGGGCTCTTCTTGTTTTGTTAATGACTTCTTTTGCTGTGCAGAAGCTTTTTATTCTGAGGTAGTCCCATTTTCTCCTTAATTTCCATTGTCCGAGGAGCTGTATCAGTGAAGTTTTTACTACATTATATGTCTGATATTTTGATGCCTATGGATTCTTACAGATTTTTATGGTTTCCCATCTTACATTTAAATCCTTTATCCATTTTGAGTTTATTTTTGTGTATGGTGTAAGTTGGTGGTCTAGTTTCATTTTTTTGCATGTATTTGTCTAATTTCCCCAAAATCATTTATTGAAGAGACTGTCTTGACTCCATTGTATGCTCTTGCCTCCTTTGTCAAATATTAATTGAATATAATGACTTGGGTCTATTTCTGGATTCTCTGTTCTGTTCCATTGGTCTATATGCCTGTTATTGTGTCAGTACTAGGCAGTTTTGAGAACAGTGGCTTTGTAATAAAGCTTGATAAATGTTATTGTGATTCTTCCAACTTTATTCTTCTTTCTCAAGATTGCTGTGGTTACTCAGGGTCTTTTTTTATTCTATATGAATTTTTGGAGAGTTTGCTCCACGTTTGTGAAATTGCATTAAATCTATAGATTGCTTTAGATAGTATGAACATTTTATTGATGTTGATTCTACTAATTCACGAACACGATATTTTCTTCTATTTGTTTATGTCTTCCTCTATTTCTTTTTTCAATGTCATGTAGTTTTCCAAGTATAGGTATTTTATCTCTTTAGTTAAGTTTATTCCTACGTATTTTAATTTTTTTTGGTGCAATGGTAAGTGGGATTGCTTTTTTTTATGTTTTTCTGAGACTTCATTATCTATCTATATAAAAGCATAAGCAACAGAACCCACCGAACAATTGGTCCACTGGTCGTTATGATGCACAGAATCCACCAGGGGTAGACGCTTCATGCAGGAGCTGCCCCCTGGTGGTCAGCTGACCAAAGGGAGCCAGGGGCAGCAGGGTTGGGATGAGTGTGAGTAGCAGGCAGGACCAGCAGTCTGATATCCCCCGAGGGGTCAGAGATTGCAAGAGGGCGCAGGCCAGGCAGAGGGACCTCACCAGTGCATGTATCCATGCACCGGGCCTCTAGATGGTGTATAAAAAAAAGCTATAAATTTTTGGGTGTTAATTTTGTATTCTGCTACATGGCCACATTTATTAAATCTAGGTTGTTTTTTTTTTTTTATGGAGTCTATAGAATTTT